CGTAAATAATATTTGCTCTATTTAATTTGTTGGAATTTTAGCTGAATTATTATTTTTTAGTATTATCTAATATTTTGAAAATTAAATATTATATAAATACAGGCATACAGCAATCTATTACTTGTTAACAGTTAATATATTTAATAACTTGAAAATGGTTAAATGTATAACAGAAAACGCTAGGAAAAAAGACAATTGGACAGTTTTTATATAAAATATTCACCGTAAAGAAAAAGTGTGTGTGTGTGTATGTGCAAATATATATAAAAATAGGAAAGGTCGCGTTAAGTAAATACTCCGAATTACTTTAGTATTTTTGTTTTTATTTTTTAAAATACAAAAGTAGAGCCTAAATAATAATTATTTGCGAAGGATTCATATTTTAAAAAAAATAATTATATATATATATATATATATATTAAAGAGAAGCCGCAAATTCTTTTGGTTATAATGCGGATTTTTTATTTAATTTTTTTAAATATATAATTTATTTTCCATTAGTTTGCTACACGTGTTTCAAGTCTTGTGACCATCATCAGGCTAATAATAGTTATTTCAACATATTTATTTTCTTTATGCTTTTTATGGTCTTTTGTGGCTTCTCTTTTCTCTTCAAAATATACACCTTTTCCTCGTTGGATCAATTTTAATCTCTCCCTTATATATATATATATATATATATATATATATATGAGCGTTATATATATATATATGTGTGTTGTGTGTGTGTGTGTGTGTGTGTGTGTGTGTGTGTGTGTTGTATTCACTCTTACTCCATATGTGGCCTCCTTTGTAAATGACTAGCTGGTCTTAAATGCCATTAAGATTAGCGTACAAAATTTCGTAACTGAATCAACTAAGCTGTCATATATATATATATATATATATATATATATATATATATATATATATATATATATATATATATATATACATACATACATGAGGGTGTTGAATGGAATTGTATTTGTGTGCGTTGTCGTATATATTGATATCTGTGTTTTGTCGACGCCTATTTATTTAGATATGTGTGTGTGTGTGTGTGTGTGTGTGTGTGTGTGTGTGTGTGTGTGTTCTGTGTGTGTGTGTGTGGCATGTTGACGTGCCTTTTTTTTGTCCCAATCAGTGAATTTGTTTTGCACATGTTAAGGCCCGAAAAAACACTATATAAAATTCATTATTTTTTATCCATAATTTTGAATGTCTTAAAATTCCTCAACATTTTAACACGAAAAGTGTCAAAAATTGCTGTAAAACATGGTTAAGATAGAATGATCAATCATGACATATCTCTAAATTGTATTTAGATACAGGGTATTTAATTTCATTTTTTTTTTAGCATAGTGGGGGCACCGTATCATAGATTCCGAGGGTGATGCACGAGACACATGCAACGACCCTATCTATCTATCTATCTATCTATCTATCTATCTATCTATCTATCTATCTATCTATGATCATATTCCTTTCCTTATCTATCTATCTATCTATCTATCTATCTATCTATCTATCTATCTATCTATGTGTGTTTGTGTGTGTGTGTGTGTGTGTGTGTTGTGGGAAACCTAATAAAAAACATTATCGAAATTTCCTTTTCTGTTATATTCCACGAAACATGTATATATATATATATACATACATATATATGTATGCATGTATGTATCTTCTTTTTTTCATACAGCATGTCGGAACTGTTGACAGTTAGTGTGTCAAATTTTACACATTTAAAAAAATAAAAAAGCGAAAAAAAATGTGAAAGAAAAAAAAAAAGATTCAATAAACAGGGGATTATTTGGGGAAAAATAAAGAAAATAGTTGTCACCCCTCCTCCACACGCACCCAACCTAAGAAAAAAAAAATATCTCCGAGTGAATAAGATCAGGACGAGATTTTTCTTTTTTTTTTTTTTAAAGGTCGTTTTATTCATGACTTCGAATCCAAAATTTGTCGTTACGAATTCAGTTTTCGGTGTTTATACAAAACTTATCGCTGTCATATACATTGTTTTTCCATTACTAAAAAATTTATGTTTAAAAAAAAGAAAAAAAGAGAGAGAGAGAGAGAGAGTGAGAGGGAGAAAGAGGAAAAGAGAGAGGGAAAAAAATGGGGGGGATGCCATATATACTTGTGTACAAGTCGATACCACGTTTACCTTAGTGCTTCTTATTGTTGAAAATCATCGAACAAGAAATTACGTTGACACATAACTAGATTTGAGAGCTTATAAAACATTTGCCCCCAAACAGTTTAAATAAAGACCCCTCTTGCATTTTAACAACGGAGGGTAAGCGCTACCGAAACAGCGAATACGCCAGAATTAAAATCTGTGCCATATATTTTCAAGGTAAATACGAAAACATTCCCTAACCCGAATGTAATTTTCGCTCAACATATTTTTATTCGAGTCAATATGCTAAAGATTTTACTAAAAAAAAAAACGAAACTGATAAAAAGTGCCTGGCCCGACAGAAAAGACCAACCGAAAAAATAAAATATGAAT